CCTGAGTGTCGTAACGGCGGGCGCTGCGTGGCGCCCAATCAGTGCGAATGCACTAAAGACTTTTACGGCGCCCGTTGTGAGAACAAAAAATGTCCTGAAAAACTGCCTGCCATTCGTCAAGGCAGCGTGAACCTCAGGTGAGATTTTGTTCTACTATGGAACAAAGTTTTGTATGAATGATTTTAGGTCATGGGTTTATTGTTTGTTCCAACGTCATTTTAACATACAATTTTTATAGAGGAACATGAAGTCAAGGATTAATCTATGAACGAGGGAAAACATGTTCTTGCAATCAAACTCGATATATTTCATCAAGTTTTAGTTTTTCACGCATTATTTGTACTGAAGTTTTTTGTAAGGCATTTTCTTGTAAGAGCCTGTTATTTTTAAGCCTCTTCTTTTGCAAGCCAGTATTTCTGAAATATTTTTCTTCAAACATTCTTCGGAAAATTTTTTATCAATCGGTATTTTTTAAAAGTAGTTTTTCTGCGATAATCTCGTCTTGTTATGATTTAATTATTCATTTTTACCTGCAATCCTTTTTCCCAGATCCTTCACTACTGAAAGTGCTTCTAAAGCCAGTTATATTAAAGTGTATTCCCGAGACTTTTTTTCCGAATATCTATCTCTTGCATGACACTCTCCTTTCAACAGCTCTTCATCCCTCTCCGCTACTTCGATATCTCATTTTCTACACGCATTATCCTTCGGCCATTATCTTTTCCATTTTTTTCTAATGTCGTTTTATAACCGTGATTTTAAAATCATAAAATTTTTTACAAATATATTTTCTTCAGATTGCCTCTTTCCCATTCCCTATGTTTTCAAATGCGCACATTCTTCAACATGTACGCTCTCTTTTTCAAAAAGTCTCGTTTTTTCAAATACATAATTAAGACACACAACCTGTTTTCAGTTATCGCTTATTTTCTTCTATCGTTTTACAGATAACCCCTCTTTCAAGGGTATTTCCTCATAGAGACTCCTAATCTGAACGGCACCTTAGCATAGCATATTGAAGTCGGCGCTGAAGAGTAGGCCTGATGTGGCCTATCGCCGATTCTTGTATTTTTCGTGACTTGTCCCCAGGAGATCTAGAAACAGGTCCTTTGACTGGATATTTTCCAAACTGTCGATAGTTTGAAATATATACTAGACTTCCACCGGGTTCGATATGGTGCTAGGCATTTCAATTTTAAAAATATATTTCTCCATAGCTTTATCTAGTCTGTTCTGGAACGCGTTTGTACGCGGAGCGTCTACAAATGTAGTCGGGGAGGCTGTTCCACATGTCGGTGATTCGAAGCGAGAAGAAATTTTGTCGCGTGGATGAGTTGCAACGTAGTTTTTTCAGTTTATAACCGTGGCCCCTGGTGTTGGTCTTTGTTTCAATTCTAGTAATCCTTCTGAAACCTTGTATAAGCCATGTGTATACTTGTATACTTCAATGAGGTCCCCGAGCAGATGTCGATAACAGATGCTTGGAAGCGTCATAATCTTTAATCTTTCTTTACAGGACTTGCCTTTCAAGCCTGGAATTATCCATGTTGCACGTCTTTGAACCCTCTCACACTAAATTTTTGTTCTTTTCAAGTTTCGGTGACCACACGGCGTTTCCAATCTTTAGGTTCGGGCGCACGACAGCAACAAAGAACTGTTTCATCGCTTCTGCATCTAGGAACTCGAAAGAGCGTCTGATCAGTCCAAAAAGTTGGTTGGCTTTATTAGCTTGTGTTTCAATATGCTTAGCGGATTTCAGCTCCTTGTCGACATAAACTCCCAAATCTTTTTCCACAGTAGACTTTTCAATCATTGCTCTCTCGTTGCAACCATGTCTCCTCACACTGTAATCTTCCTGTTCATTGTTCTCCTGAGGTGAAGTACTTTAAACTTGTCAGCATTAAAGCGCAGCTGCCACGTATCAGCCCAGTTAACTAAACTGTCTAGATCATCTTGCATTTGCACTTTATTTTACGCATCCTTCATTGAATTATAAACTTTTGTGTCATCGGCATACATGTAGCAAACGCTTGACACTACTTCTGGCAGATCGTTTATACAAGCAACGATTAAAACAGGCCCAAGAACACTTCCATGTGGCACGCCACTGCGCTCTGATGCCCAGTCTGATTCGGTTCCGTTAATACTGACACGTTGTCGTCGGGGAGGCTGTTATTCGTCGGGGAGGCTGTTTTCGTCGGAGAGGCTGTACTTATTCGATCAGTCTCTGATCGAATAAGTACATTTCCCTCTATTCCCAAGGACTTTACTGTACGCAACAGCCGCTCATGCGGAACACTGTCAAATGTTTTTGCAAAATAGAGGTGCACTGCATCCACTGGCTCCCTTTTGTCCAGTAGGCGAGTCCAATCGTTCAACTTAGACAAGATGTCTAAGTTGAGCATGATCTGCCGGCAATAAATCCATGTTGACAGTCTGCTAGGAGATGATGAACAGTCAAGTGATCGAAAATCCTATCTCTCACAACAGATTCCATTACGGTACCTTTCAAACAACACGTGTCAGGCTGACAAGGCGATAGTTACCGGGGCTGCTTTTGTCGCCTTTCTTGAACAATGGTGTTACTTGAGCTTCTTTCCAATCGGTCGGTAAAGTTCCTCCGTTTAAGGTTTTTTTGAAATAATATTGTCAAAGGGCCGGCCAGGACGGCTGCTAATTCTTTGAGCAATTTAGGGTGGAAACCGTATGGTCCACAAGACTTGGGATTTAGGGCGACCAGGCGCTTGAGAACCTCTTCTTCGTGTGTTTCAAAACTTGTTAATTTCGAGCCTACTGGGCACTCCTCAATAGCTGGAATACTGTTTAAAATCTCATCTGTGAACACACTGCTGAAGAACTGATAGAGAACGTCGGCCTTGCCTTCATCAGAGGATATCTTCCGTTGGTTTACTTTCAAATCAGAAATACCGTCGTTTGTCTTACACTTCGATCTAGCGTGCAAAAAGGTTTTCGGGTTCTTTTTTGCATTTTTGGCAATATTTTTTTTTCAAAGTTTTTCACTGCGGTGCGACAGACATTTTTAGCTTGATTTCGAGCTCTTGCAGACAGGTTATAATCAGTATCCCTAAGAGTTCGTAAATAACGCTTGTAGGCTTCCTTCTCGGTCTTTAGCTGAGCTGTAACTGTACTGTTTATCCACTGGGACTTTTTGACTCTTCCGTGCTTAATCTAAGGTACACAGGTATCAACTGCAGACGTAACCGTGTCTTTGAAATATGACCATGAATCAGCCATATTCATGTCCTTAATAGTCCGAAATATTCGCCGCATTCACTGCTTTCCGAAGTATCTTTTCTGCATTGCGCTTAATACTGAAAAACAATGATTGGTGGTGGCTTTTGCCCAACGGAACCTCGTGGCGAAGCTCATCTGACATTGATTCTTCACTAGTAAACACTAAATCTAGAATTTTTGGGGTCTGTTCACCCCTAAAATGGATTGGCTTGGTGATGTTCTGGATTAAAAATGAGCCTCGCACAGACTACAAGAAGAGGGATATGCTGGGTGATTCCCATCTCGTGGAGAGGATTCATCTACCCAGTCTATTTCTGGATGGTTAAAGTCTCCAACGATCAACGCAAGCGACCTACTGAAAGTCATTATCATCGACCTACTTTATCATTATCAAAGGAACTTTTTGGTGATCTATACACGACGCCGATGAAGAGGCTGTCCTTGCCTTTTAGAGAAAGTTCGCACCACACTGATTCTCTATAGCTGATTGATGCCCTTCGGATAACTTAACTTGCTGGGCCACTTACGGGGTTCTAACTCACAGAGCTGCACTGCTCTTCATTTAAGTTATAAAAACGATCAAAACCTGGTAACTGAAATTCAACTGGTACAATTTCCCCCCGGGATTTTTAGGGAGTGTTTCTGTAATACACGTAATGCCTATGCACTCGTTTGCGATAACAGCTAACAGTTCACTTTTTTCTTCAAAATGGAATCCGAGTTTGTGTAGAAACATTCAAAACTTTTTGTGCACTTTCACTTTGACTCACGCGGTTATTTCTTACATTATTTACAAGCCTGCAACTGTGGTCATGACTTCTACTATTTACTTGTCTTCCAGCTCCGCTAACTGATCGTGTGCGGCCGGTGTTGTCTTGACATCGCGAGAGTGGTTGACCTTATTTTCCGTGTTTTTTCCGCCTGATTCTCTCCTGCCATTTCTTGCGAAAATCCACTCTCTCTCAGGGGGCTTTCGCTAGCGATTTTGGGTAATCAACTCTCCGATTCTTTACCTCCATTTTTCCGTATTTTTCAGCTGAGCCTTCTCTTCAGTCAGCTCATTGCATAGCGAGCTCAATTTTTCACTCAGCAAGCGCTTCATCTCACCTTTCCTGAGAGTCGTCTCATTGTGATGTCGGTTCTCTCCGCAAGGACCATTTTTAAGCTTAAAATCCCCATGTTCTGACAGGCAGGAACTAGCGAAAGCTTATTTTTCAGGTCTACCTTAGTTGCGTACAATTAATTATAAGCCAAGGCAGCGTGAACCTCAGGTGAGGGATTTTTTACTATTAAAACAAATTCATATATGGTCGGCTTTAGGTCATGAATTTATTGCTTGTGCCAACGGCATTTTAACGTACAATTTTTCCAGAGGGTACAAGAAGAATTCAATGATTGATGTAAGTAAGAGGGTAAACATGCATGTTTTTGCAATTGACCTCAATTTATTTCGTTGAAGTTTTTCATGCCATATTTGTACTGAAGTTTTAATAAGACATTTTCTTGTAATAATCCGTTTTTTTTAAACCTCTTCTTTTGCAATCCGGTATTTCTGAAAGATTTTTTCAAACATCCTTCGGGTGATTTTTTTCAATCGGTCATTTTTAAAGTAGTTTTTTCTGCTGTAATCTCGTCTTTTCACGTTATAATAATTTAGTTTATGTGCAATCCTCCTTCCTAGACCCTTCAATACTGAAAGCTCTTCTAAGGCCAGTTGTATACTTTATCAAAGTATACAACTGATAAAGGTTATCAATGATATTACAATCGGGAATATACGTTGGTATATTCCCGAAGAGATATTTCCAAATGTTGAAGCATGACCCTCTCCTTTCAATAGCTCTTAGTCTCTCTCCGCTATTTTGATACCTCGTTTTCAGCCCGCATTATCCTTCAATCACCATCTTTTCCTAATTTTCTCTAAAGTCGTTTTATAACAGTGATTTTAAAAACATGAAATTTTTTACAAATATCTTTTCTTCAAATGCCCTCTTTTCCAGTCCCTCTGTTTTCAAATGCGCACAATCTTCTACAAACCTTTTCCATGACCGCTCTCTTTTTCAAAAATATAGTTTTTTTCAAATACTTACCTCAGACTCACTACCTTTTTTCGGTTATCGTTTATTTTTTCCTATCATTTCACTGATAACTCCTCCTTCAAAGACATCTTCTCAGAGAGACTACTCTTCTGAACGGCACCTTTCTTGAGAGAGGGCGCAGCCGTGATCCACAAATTTTACTCTTAAATAAGCCACAGAGCAACAATCAGCCTCAGCATGTAATAACTTTACTCAGCTTCAGAGATAGATGCCGCAGTCTGCGCTGGAACGCCGTAATCCGCACCAGTGATACATTGCATAAAGATAATAGCGCCGTAGATCATCAGCCAAAACTTCAGCATGCTTGCTCATAAGCAGGCAGTTCTACATCCGGCCTCACCTACTATGGCCTAACATCTTCCGGCCCAATCTATTCACGCTGCCTCGACTCACAACCTTCTTGCACCCAATAACTGGCTCTACGTTTACTGTTACGCGACAGGCCATATCAGGTTAGCTCTTCAGCGCCGACGTCACTAATTTATGCTACCTAATCACTTGCTGCTCATCTCAACGTCCAGCAGCCAATGAGGTTAGGTTAGGTCAGTTCAGGTTCGTTTTTCGTGGTGAAATGTTGCTACGTGTGTAGGTTAGGCCAGAAGAGGTTTAGCGGGAATAGGTTTGACCAGATGCTGTATGACCACGCTTAACTTGGGCATGCTTACGATGTGGCTGTGGGCAAACGGCATTATGGCTTTAAGAACTAGACTTGGGCTGCTATTTCCTATAGCGTTCTTATCCACAGAAAGAAATGTGATTAATGTGTGAAGTTGGGCGAAGCTGGCATCCGGCATGCGCGTCTCCTGAGAGTCCTTGATTAGTCTAGGTATTTTACGTAGTAATGAAACTATGCTTGATATAGATATATGGTCGCGAGAATGTATTTATTGTTTATTGAATTCAAAACCGTATACAGTATTTCAAAACTTCAAAGTTCTTAATTAAACTTTTCTGTCAGGCTGGTCCTAAATTTCTCTCCGAGTGGTACAAAAGGACGCGATGAGGTTCTCCTAAGAGTCAATGACGAATTGACAAAAGGACAAATGAAAACACATGTATTATCTCAAACTTCATATACTAAAAGGCAAGGTATCCTACACCTAGTTACAGAGCTGGCTCACGTTTACTAGCCGAACATGATAAAAACTTCCCGTAATGGCAATAATGTGAACTTACTACAGTCACTAACCCAGTTGGGAGCTAGACACAATTTCTACAGGCGAATTTCCAAATTTGTACATCACCGGGTTTGGGGAGAAGGAGAGTCCATGGGCAAATCTGACGGCGAAGTTTCGGTATGAGCCCTGGAAAGTTACTCCAGGAGTGTTCCTCGGGGCGAGATTTCCTAGCGAATCGGAGTTCCTCGTGTGTGGCTTTGAGGGGTTCTTCAGTCCGCATTCCCTTATATGAATTGTACTTGGGTGGCGGTGTTGTTTAAGTGCAGTACGCTTGGTGGCGGTCCGGTCGTAGACTCTTCGTTGTAGCTATATTTGCTTGGGTTTGGGGAATTTTGTAGGTCAATCTCACAATTTCCTCGTAGGTTAGGTATTTCTTCTCCGTAGTTGCTGGCTTCAGGAACAAAACTCTGTCTCAGCAATTAACTCGCAGCTTCTTTGCTTGGTGATAATTCGTTTCCTCAGGTAACTCGTAGAAACTCGGCGGCTCACCAAAGTTGCTTCAGAAAAGGGAAAGTTCAACGTCGCGGTTCGTAGATTCAACACTATACCGACCATCAGCTTGGCCGCGTCCCCGAGATAAACAGTACGACCGACTGACACGACTGCCCGTACTCGACTGCCCGTACTTGACTGCCCTGCCCGCAGTTTCACTTTCCCTGCTCTGCTCTTATATACACCGGTATCGCGCAAGCGTACTAGACGGCTCGAGCTCCTCCCCTAAATCCAAATTCGCTACTCCTACACCCAATATTATTCTGTTCTTATTCCTAATCATCCTCTCATCGTGATGTCTGTTCTTTCCGCAAAGACCATTTTAAGCTTAAAATTTCCATGTTCTGACACTCTGACAAGCAGGAACTAGCGAAAGCTCATTCAACTGGTCTACTTCATTTGCGTATCATAAGTTATAATACAAATTTGTTGGTGGCAAATCGAATTATGTTCCAGTTTGCCAGATGCCGGAGTCTTGGTTTGCTCTGAAGGCTTCTACATCTCGGCGATAGGCAACACAACGGCGCGCCTCACTTGCTCTGACGGACGCTGGCTCATAGCGGGCACTGATGTGACTCCTGACGAAGGCGTGTGTGAGCCTCACTGTCGATCAAAGTGTCTCAATGGAGGAGTGTGCGTCGCTCCTGACACGTGCGAGTGTCCCTCATCTTACTTCGGGGTGACGTGCCAATTCAAGTCTTGTGGAGGAAATCCTCCAGCCGTAAACAATGGATCTTTCCCTGGAAAGTGAGGAAAGATTACTCCTCAGTTAATCTTTTAATGGCTATTCACTGCGATTTTACACAAGGACCGTGCTGATTATTCGTAGTTACTCATACACCCCTAACAAAGGAGGAACGCGCGACCCTGCATTAGGGCCGCCTAGGACTCGGGGAGCACATAAATCAGCGGCTTTATGTCCGCTTCGGCACAAAGTTCGAAGGGCAGCTTATGGTTAGCTTGCTACCCTAACAAAATTCGGGGTATGCTTCAGCCTCCGCCCCAGAGTTGCTATGTGCGCGTAAGAGTTATTCTGGGTCAGCTGGCCAACTGATCGCAATCAGCGACTAGTCAGAACCTCCTGGCCGACTGTATGGTCTCCTGAGAGTGGGGCAAGAGTTGGCAGAATCCCCTCAGTCCCCTCACCAGGCTCTGGTAGCTGTCTGATTCGGGGACCGGAACGTAGACCAAAAAGCGGACATAGAGAAGCTGATTTACGTTCGGTCCGAGTCCTAGGCGGTTCCTAATTCAGGTTCGCCACCAGCTAAAAATTTTGATATGGGTAGTTCGGTGTGACTCGGCTCGGCCAACCCTTGTCATACTCTCAGGCGACTGTAAAGTCGGAAACGAGATTCTGACCCGAAGCTCATTTTGATCGATTGGCCAAGCAGACCCAGAATAACTTTGAGCCGAATGTTGTGACTATTCGGCCGACGCCCAGGCGGTCCCCGATTTTGTTAGTACATAGCAGTAAAAGTTGAATAAGGTAGGAAAAGTTATGGTCCTGCGTTCGCTTCAGAATAACAGAACCTATTGACAGTCGACGTTCAAGAGTTGGAAGTCCGTAGAAACAGGTTATACTACATATTACAAAAACAGGGAAATTTTTTGACACTACAATAACCAACATGCTAATCAGCATACATTTAATTTGCTAGCATGTATATGATAGACTGTCGATAGCGATTACAATGGATTTTAATTAGATCTGTTCATTTGAACAAACCCTCATTTCAGAGACAAATTCAGCACGCGCAACCTGATGTGCGATGAAGGTTATCACGTGCCGGTTGGTGATAACGTGACCCTGGTGTGTGATGACGGCACGTGGGTGATTAGGAGAAAAAATGCGTCGTCAGAGGCGTTATGTGAGCCCACTTGTACTCCTGAGTGTCGTAACGGCGGGCGCTGCGTGGCGCCCAATCAGTGCGAGTGCACTAAAGACTTTTACGGCGCCCGTTGTGAGAACAAAAAATGTCCTGAAAAACTGCCTGCCATTCGTCAAGGCAGCGTGAACCTCAGGTGAGATTTTGTTCTACTATGGAACAAAGTTTTGTATGAATGATTTTAGGTCATGGGTTTATTGTTTGTTCCAACGTCATTTTAACATACAATTTTTATAGAGGAACATGAAGTCAAGGATTAATCTATGAACGAGGGAAAACATGTTCTTGCAATCAAACTCGATATATTTCATCAAGTTTTAGTTTTTCACGCATTATTTGTACTAAAGTTTTTTGTAAGGCATTTTCTTGTAAGAGCCTGTTATTTTTAAGCCTCTTCATTTGCAAGTCAGTATATCTGAAATATTTTTCTTCAAACATTCTTCGGAAATTTTTTTATCAATCGGTATTTTTTAAAAGTATTTTTTTGCGATAATCTCGTCTTGTTATGATTTAATAATTCATTTTTACCTGCAATCCTCCTTCCCAGATCCTTCACTACTGAAAGTGCTTCTAAAGCCAGTTTTATTAAAGTGTATTCCCGAGACTTTTTTCCGAATATCTATCTCTTGCATGACCCTCTCCTTTCAACTGCTCTTCATCCCTCTCCGCTATTTCGATATCTCATTTTCTGCACGCATTATCCTTCGGCCATTATCTTTTCCTCTTTTTTTCTAATGTCGTTTTATAACCGTGATTTTAAAATCATAAATTTTTTTACATATATATTTTCTTCAGATTTCCTCTCTCCCATTCCCTATGTTTTCAAATGCGCACATTCTTCAACATGTACGCTCTCTTTTTCAGTGCAATTGATTGTAATTGTGGAATTATTTATTCCTGAATTGTTTTGTTATTTTGCAAATTTTAAGGGAGAAAATTACGCAAGTCATCGTCGTTATCAACGGACGCTCTAGGCGACAGTATGTGCAATTAATTGTAATTGTGGAATTAAATATTCATAAATTTCTATTGTTCTTTGAAAATTTGTTGAGTGCTTCAAGCACACATTAATAGCTTACATTATTACAAGTACATACATTAATACAAGTTACATTAATAGCTTGATAGCTGAAGCGCTAGTAAACCATTCTACTACCTACTACTACTACTACTATCGTCGTTATCAACGGACGTTCAAGACGACAGTATGATCATTATATTTATTAATTGTAATTTTTAATTATATATTCCTAAATTTTTTTGTTGTCCTTCAAAATTTTAAGGAAGAAGATTAAGTCATCGTCGTTATCGAAGGACGCTCGAAGCGACTGTGTGATTACAATAATTATTAATTTTAATTTTGGAATTATTTATTGCTAAAATGTTTTATTATTCTTCGCAATTTTAAGGAAGAAGATTAAGTCATCGTCGTTATCGAAGGACGCTCGAAACGACAGTATGATTACATTAATTATAAGTTGTAATTTTTGAATCATATAATCCTAAATTGTTTTGTTATTCTATGAAATTTTAAGGAAGAAGATTAAGTCATCGTCGTTATCAAAGGACGTTCAAGACGACAGTATGAATAATAGAATTATTAATTGTAATTTTGGAATTATATATTCCTTAATTTTTTTATTATTCTTCGAAATTTTAAGGAAGATTAAGTAATCGTCGTTATCAACGGACGCTCAAGACGACAGTATGATCAACATACTTATTAATTGTAATTTTTGAATTTTTTTTTATAATTGTTTTATTATTCTTCGAACTTTTAAGGAAGAAGATTAAGTCAATCTAATATGCATGTAATTAAAGTGAATGGGAAGCTGCAGTACATGAATTTATTTTCTGTCGAATAAATAAAATAAAGGAAAGTAATGAAGGCGCGCAAACAAGTTTAATTACTGTAATTAGAAACGATTAGTTTTGCTACTACATAGTACTCTGATATAATTTACAAGAAAAGAAAATGTCTGGTAAAGTAATCTGGTTTTCATTAAAAATATTTACATAATAATAAATGATTTGTGCTTTTCATTTTCGTAATTTTTTGCTGTTGGATTCGTGGTTTAATTAACATTGTAAGCAAACTAACTATACTTATGCACTGATAGAAAATTGACAGTTTATCGAATAGATAAATTTGGTTAAACTGTTAATAAAGATCCGTAGTTCTTACAGTTTTTGATGGATTTTAAAGGACACAAATTCAGTTGTGCGTTTGTTTTGATATAAAATTGATAGTTCCATCCCTCTATCATGGCTAAAAACTTACATTAGTAACTTGTACTCTTTCCCCAACTAAATGACAAAATACTATTATATATAATGAGCTCACGCATGGACAAAACCATAAATTTAGTTTCCCTAAACTATTACACATCAAAATAATACATTTATTCTTATTACACTTGGGGGTTTTCGATTATCCAAATATTTCTTCATAGATGGAATATTGATGGCATCAGTGAGCAATTTGAAGTACAATTTTGAAACACCTGCCCCAACAAAATTTAGAGTCGCCACAGCTTCTGGTAATCCAAATCAGAAGCTGCCGTGTCTGTAAATTTTTACTGGGTGATAGCCCTTGGATGTGAAGTACAGGGATAACTCACACCCACAACTTGTTGAATCAATTTCTGTACTACTTTTTTCATTTACCATTTGGTATTCACTTTTTCTTCTATACCTATCATAATTTTGTTACATTTATCTCCATCTCAGTTAAATTTCTATCGGTGTATTTCACTCGAAACTTCGAACTCGAAATTTCAAAGTTTATAACGGGGAAAGCGGGAGGAGCCATTACCACCTGAATTGATTGTTTCAGAGGCCGAGCTCGCTCGAGTGTGTCGTGCAACCCAGGAATGGTGTTCGAGTACCCGTTCCCAGCCCAGGCCACATATGCCAACTGCGATCAGGGTCTCTGGACTGTCGTGGGTGGAGCCTCAGACGTCGCAACGGTCTTGCCCGCTGGGTCGCCTTTAAGGTGTATCTCGGTATGCGAAAGAAAATGTAACCCTAATGGTCACTGCTTGAATGAAACTGCTGGAACTTGCAAATGCAACTTGGGCTTTGAAGGCAACACCTGCACGCAGAGGTCGTGTATCGGAGCAATGCCTTCTGTAAACAATGCCTTCATCAATGCCAAGTGAGTACTTTGTAAAAGGTTGTCGTTACTCGCACGCATACATGACAATGAAACGGTTTTTGAAAAAAGAATCATTTGTGTTATTTTGCAATTAACCTGAAACTTGTTTGAGATTTATTTTGTTAATCGTTGATGAAATTGCCTATAAAACGGTTTTTGACAATGGCAATAATATTTTATGACAGTAAAACGGTTTTTGAAAAAAAAAGAATCATTTGTGTTATTTTGCAATTAACCTGAAACTAGTTTGAGATTTATTTTGTTAATCGTTGATGAAATTGCCAAATATAGTCTTATAGTTGAAATGAAATTAATGGCAATTGTCACTTTTCTCGTCTTAGTTATCAAACTTCATCCATTTGTGCACAGTAAAATTTTATTGGTTTCTTATTTAACTGTTCTCCGAAAGAACGCAAGCTTCAAATTTCTGTTAATTTTAGGTAATGCTGGTATATACCACTAAATTCGGTTCCCTCACTACACATAATATTTTTTTGCATAGTATCAACGCGGAGGGACTTCAAGAATACGACGTCCGGTGTTTCCCTGGCTATGAGCTAAACAATGGGCTCACCCAAGCGACTGGCGTGTGTCGCAAGGGTCTATGGGTTATGACACATCCAACCACGGGCGATTTTGCTGTGCCATCATCATGCATTCCAAAGTGTGCCGTGCCGTGCCAGAATGGCGGAGTTTGCTCTGCTCCTGGGCAGTGCGAGTGCTTGGGCCCGTTCTTTGGATTCGCTTGCCAGTTTAAGAAATGTCCTCCAAATCCAATTAACCCGGCGCATGGAGCTTATACGGGAAGGTCAGCTACAGTTTTTATATCACGTGATAACTAAAATGATTATTATAAAGCGAGAATGTTTGTATTAAAAATCTTACGCTTGAAACACCAGTTTTAAAAACTTATTTCTGGCTCAAAATTGGCTATATAGATTTGATTTTCTGATTTACGTGCATTGCAGCGATCTTCAAGTGCGCAACCTGGAGTGCGACGCAGGCTATCGGGCAGGCAGTACCGACTTGCAGATCAAATGTACAGACGGAGCTTGGGTGTACCCGAAATCTTCTCAGGAGCTCTGCCTACCTGAATGCAACCCTGCCTGTCGTAACAGAGGCATCTGCGTCGCCCCCAATGTCTGCCAATGTCCTGCTGAATTTTTTGGTTCTTCCTGCGAGTTCAAGAGTTGCAACCAGAATTTAACTAATTTTCTTCATGGTTCTATCAATAAAAAGTAAGTGTTTTTAAAGCTGGGAAGAACATCGTAAATTCACAATGCGCACCAATACATGTTTCTATATTTAAAGTTTTACGCTCCACTTAAGACCGTCTGAAACAAATTAAATGTTCCTTTTAATATTACAAGATTGTGACAGTTTGTAATCTCGTTTTTTATTTATACTCATCAGGTCAGCGATTGAGCTCCTAGTCACTTGCGATCCCAATTATCTGGTTCACATAAAAGCGTCTGTAACAAATTGAGTATTCCCATGTAATATTACAAGATTGCAACAATTCGTAATCTCGTTCTTTTTAATACTTATCAGGTCAGCGATCGAGCTCCTAGTTACTTGCGATCCCAACTACCTGGTTGACGGGTCCACGGAATCAGCACTAAAGACTTTTACGGCGCCCGTTGTGAGAACAAAAAATGTCCTGAAAAACTGCCTGCCATTCGCCAAGGCAGCGTGAACCTCAGGTGAGAGATTTTATTCTACTATGAAAACCAATTTAAATTTTAATGGCTTTTGGTCATGGGTTTATTGAATGTTCCAACGTTATTTTAACCTACAATTTTTACAGAGGTAACAAGAATTCAAAGATATAGATCTAAGTTCGCGGGAAAACGTATTATTTCAATCGAACTCAATATATTTCACTGGAGTTCTTCATGCCTTATTTGTACATAAGTTTTTCAACAGGTCGCTAACTCGATAAGGAGTCATAAATACGCATAACTAGAAACTAAAACTTGCTGCCTTGTGGCGGCAAATAAGAAAAATCATACAATATGAAGTTTAATTTGTTATTCAGCTATAGTCATAGTTTTGAAGAGCTCATTGTGACAAATCTAATGATGTATGACACAATACTTCATAGAAGGGTATTGAGCCCACCATGGGCGCTTTGCCCCGTGGCACGCATGGGCCCGTTGCTACACTACAGGTATCATTTCAATTTATATCGTGTCAACATTTTATTTTAAAAGCTAATTGTCTAAACTTGAACTCAAAATTATCCCTATAAATAATACTTTTAAAATATAATTCACAGTAATTTCATAAGCTTCATATAGAGTCATCGAAAATAGTTTAATTCAGCAGCAAAAAAACTTTTATATGGGCTAAAACAGTTATTTGAGTGTAACTTACCAACGCAAACTCTTAGCAAAACGTAGAGCCACACACTCCAACCCAGTGAAACTGTCGACCGGCGGTAGAGCGCACGGACCAATATCTGCCATACTTAGCGGGAAACCCAATATGGGCCCATGACCCACAGTGGTCCCTTTGCTCCATGTTACCCTACGTTTTAATGATTCATAATGAATCCTCCTATCTAGACCCTTCAACACTGAAAGCGCTTCTTAAGCCAGTTTTATTAAAGTATATTCCCGTGAAGGGGTTTTCCGAATGTCTATCTCTTGCACGACCGTCTCCTTTCTATAGCTGTTCATCCCTCCGCAATTTTTATATCTTGTTTCCTTCACACATAATACTTCAACCATCATCTTTTCCTAATTTGTTCTTATTTATTTTATGTGTTTTAAAAACATAACGTTTTTTAGAAATACCTTTTCTTCAAATGCCCTCTCTATCCAGTCCCACTGTTTTCAAATGCACACGTTCTTCAACAACACTTTTCCATGAACGCTCTCTTATGCAAAAAATCTTGTTTTTTTCAAATACTTACCTCAGACACACAATTTTTTTTCTATTATCGCTTATTTTATTCTATAATTTTACTGATAACCCCTCTTTCAAAGACATTTTGGCAGAAAGACTCCTCTTCTGAACGGCACCTTTACTGAGTCCTTTTATCGTGATGTCGGTTCTTCCCGAAAAGACCAATTTTAAGCTTAAAATTCCCATGTTCTGACAGGCAGGAAATAAACTAATTTTCTCGGCCTACCTGATTTTCGTATAATAAATTATAATAAAAATTTGTTGGTTGCAAATTGAATAACGTTCCAGTTTGCCGGATGCCGGAGTATTGGTTTGCTCTGAAGGCTTCTACATCTCGGCGATAGGCAACACAACGGCGCGCCTCGCTTGCTCTGACGGACGCTGGCTCATAGCGGGCACTGAATTTCCGGTCGGCACATTTCTGAAAGCACTTTCTGCACTTTTCTTCTTCCGCAAGCTCCTATTTCCTCTTAGCTTCTTTCATCTAAACCCTATCTTTTGCCAATTTTCACGTGTTTCCTAATTATAACTGTCGGAAGAAGTGATCGTTCATAGAATCTCTTGCTTACCGGCGACTTCCACAGTGAGTTAGCACCAAGACTTTCAAAGCTTTTTTTTTCCCTGAAATATTTTTTCAACATCACTCCATTTTCGGTAGAGTGTTTGAATTCATGGAGCGTTCCCAACCGATAACCATCCGTTCATGATGGATTTTGTAATTGAGCTCCATCCCGACAGCCCTTGTTTTCCTGGCGTCCTCTTTTATCCAGGTTGTTTATCATAGTATGCTTGATTTTTTTCTCTTCTATCAATAAGCCTTTTGTAGGCAAACTTATTATTTTAAAACCGACTTGCGTTCCTGTTTTCTTAAATTCGATTCTAATTATCTTCCAGTTTGCCGGATGCCGGAGTCTTGGTTTGCTCTGAAGGCTTCTACATCTCGGCGATAGGCAACACAACGGCGCGCCTCGCTTGCTCTGACGGACGCTGGCTCATAGCGGGCACTGATGTGGCTCCTGACGAAGGCGTGTGTGAGCCTCACTGTCGATCAAAGTGTCTCAACGGAGGAGTGTGCGTCGCTCCTGACACGTGCGAGTGTCCCTCATCTTACTTCGGGGTGGCGTGCCAATTCAAGTCTTGTGGAGGAAATCCTCCGGCCGTAAACAATGGATCTTTCCCTGGAAAGTGACGAAAGAATACTTCTTAGTTAATCTTTTAATGGCTCTACACTGCGATTTTACACAAGGACCGTGCTGATTATTCGTAGTTACTCATACACCCCTAACAAAGGAGGAGTGCGCGACCCTGCACTAGAGCCGCCTAGGACTCGGGGAGCACATAAATCAGCGGCTTTATGTCCGCTTCGGCACAAAGTTCGAATGGCAGCTTATGGTTAGCTTGCTAGTTCGGTGTGACTCGGCTCGGCCAGCCCTTGTCATACTCTCAGGCGACTGTAAAGTCGGAAACAAGATTCTGACCCGAAGCTCATTTCGATCGCTTGGCCAAGCAGATCCAGAATAACTTTGCGCCTACTGTTGTGACTATTTGGCCGACGCCCAGGCGGTCCCCGATTTTGTTAGGGCATTGCAGTAAACGTTAAATGGGGTATGAAAAGTTATGGTTTTGCGTTCGCTTCAGAATAACAGAATCCCTTGGCAGTCGACGTTCACGAGTTGGAAGTCCGTAGAAGCAGGAGTTTCATATTACAAAAGCAGGGAAATTTTCTGACACAATATACAATAACAACCATGCTAATCAGCATACATTTTATTTATGTTAGTATGTACATGATAGACTGTCGATAGCGAATACAAAAGATTTTAATTAGGCCTGTTCATTTGAACAAACCCCCATTTCAGAGACAAATTCAGCACGCGCAACCTAACGTGCGATGAAGGTTATCACGTGCCGGTTGGTGATAACGTGACCCTGGTGTGTGATGACGGCACGTGGGTGATTAAGAGAAAAAATGCGTCATCAGAGGTGTTATGCGAGCCCACTTGTACTCCTGAGTGTCGTAACGGCGGGCGCTGCTTGGCGCCCAATCAGTGCGAGTGCACTAAAGACTTTTATGGCGCCCGTTGTGAGAACAAAAAATGTCCTGAAAAATTACCTGTCATTCGTCAAGGCAGCGTGAACCTCAGGTGAGAGATTTTATTCTACTAAGGAAGTATCTTCAAACTGATATTCATTATGAATCAGGAAGTGTGCTCCGATCAATATTGATAATTATCTGTCATGCGAAAGACATCTTTCTAAGTCTAATTTTCAAACTATTTTCGTTCTCACTTACCTGTTCATCCCCTGAACCACTTCTTTCTACAGCATTTTCCTTCCCCCCTTCCGGTCGGCACATTTCTGAAAGCACTTTCTGCACTTTTCTTCTTCCGAAAGCTCCTATTTCCTCTTAGCTTCTTTCATCAAAACCCTATCTTTTGCCAATTTTACGTGTTTCCTAAATATAACTGTCGGAAGAAGCGATCGTTCATTGAATCTCTTGCTTTCCTGTAACTTCCACAGTGAGTTAGCACCAAGACTTTCAAAGCTTTTTTTCCCCTGAAGTATTTTTTCAGCATCACTCCATTTTCGGTAGAGTGTTTGAATTCATGGAGCGTTCCCAACCGATAGCCATCCGTTCATGATCGATTTTGTAATTGAGCTCCATCCCGACAGCCCTTGTTTTCCTGGCGTCCTCTTTTATCCAGGTTCTTTATCATAGTACGCTTGACTTTTTTCTCTTCTATTAATAAGCCTTTTGTAGGCAAATTTATTCTTTTAAAACCGACTTGCGTTCCTGTTTTCTTAAATTCGATTCTGATTATCTTCCAGTCTGCCGGATGCCGGAGTCTTGGTTTGCTCTGAAGGCTTCTACATCTCGGCGATAGGCAACACAACGGCGCGCCTCGCTTGCTCTGACGGACGCTGGCTCATAGCGGGCACTGATGTGGCTCCTGACGAAGGCGTGTGTGAGCCTCACTGTCGATCAAAGTGTCTCAACGGAGGAGTGTGCGTCGCTCCTGACACGTGCGAGTGTCCCTCATCTTACTTCGGGGTGGCGTGCCAATTCAAGTCTTGTGGAGAAAATCCTCCGGCCGTAAACAATGGATCTTTCCCTGGAAAGTGAGGAAAGATTACTGATTAGTTAATCTCTTAATGGCTGTTCACCATGATTTTACACAACGACCGTGCTGATTTTTTGTAGTTACTTAAACATAGCGGTATAAGTCGAATAAGGTAAGAGAAGTTAAGATTTTACGTTCGCTTCGGAATAACTGAATCCCTAGGCAATCGATATTCACGTATTGGAAGTCCAAAGAAGCAGATGTTTCATATTACAAAAACGGCGAAATTTCCCGATATTATAAAATAACAACCATGTTAATCAGCATACATTTTATTTATATCAGTATGTACATGATAGACTTTCGATAGCGAATACAACAGATTTTAATTAGGCCTGTTCATTTGAACAAACCGCCATTTCAGAGACAAATTCAGCACACGCAACCTGACGTGCGATGAAGGTTATCACGTGCCGGTTGGTGATAACGTGACCCTGGTGTGTGATGACGGCACGTGGGTGATTAAGAGAAAAAATGCGTCATCAGAGGCGTTATGTGAGCCCACTTGTACTCCTGAGTGTCGTAACGGCGGGCGCTGCGTGGCGCCCAATCAGTGCGAGTGCACTAAAGACTTTTACGGCGCCCGTTGTGAGAACAAAAAATGTCCTGAAAAATTGCCTGCCATTCGCCAAGGCAGCGTGAACCTCAGGTGAGGGATTTTTTACTATTAAAACAAATTCATATATGGTCGGCTTTAGGTCATGAATTTATTGCTTTTGCCAACGTCATTTTAACGTACAATTTTTCCAGAAGGAACAAGAAGAATTCAATGATTGATGTAAGTACGAGGGTAAACATGCATGCTTTGGAATTGACCTCAATATATTTCGTTGAAGTTTTTCTTGCCTTATTTGTACTGAAGTTTTAATAAGACATTTTCTTGTAATAACCCGTTTTTTTAAACCTCTTTTGCAAGCAAGTATTTCTGAAAGATTTTTCTCAAACATTCTTCGGGAGATTTTTTTCAATCGGGCATTTTTAAAAGTAGTTTTTTTGCTGTAATATCGTCTTTTCAAGTTTTAATGATTTATTTCATTTGCGATCCTCCTTCCTAAACCCTTCAATACCTAAAGCGCTTCTAATGCCAGTTTTATTAAAGCATATTCCGAAAAGACTTTTTTTTCCAAATATCTATCTCTTGCATGACCCTCTCCTTTCAATACCTCTTAATCCCTCTCCGCTATTCTGATATCTCGTTTTCTGCGAGCATTATTCTTCGACCATCATCTTTTCCTAATTTACTCTAATGTCGTTTTATAACCGTGATTTTTAATACATGAAATTTTTTACAAATATCTTTTCCTCAAATGCCCTCTTTTTCCAGTCTCTCTGTTTTCGAATGCACACATTCTTCAACAACCCTTTTCCATGAACGCTCTCTTTTTCAAAAAAATCCAGTTTTTTCCCAATACTTACTTCAAACTTACAACATTTTTTGGGTTATCGTTTATTTTTTCCTATCATTTTACTGATAACTCCTCCTTCAAAGACATCCTCTCAGAGAGACTCCTCTTCTGAACGGCACCTTTCTTGAGAGAGGGCACAGCCGTGATCCACAAATTTTACTCTTAAATAAGCCACAGAGCCAACAATCAGCCTCAACATGCAATAACTTTACTCAGCTTCAGAGATAGAACCCACAGTCTGCGCTGGAACGCCGTAATCCGCACCAGTGATACATTGCTTAAAGATAATAGCCCCGTAGGTCTTTGGCCAAAACTTCAGCATCCACAGAGCAGACAGTTCTGCATCCGGCCTCACCTACTATGGCCTAACATCTTCCGGCCCATCCTATTCACGCTACCCCGACTCACAACCTTCTTGCAGCCAATAACTGGCTCTACCTTTACTGTTCGGCGACAGGCCACATCAGGCCTACTCTTCGGCATCAAGCCCTCATTCTCATCCTCATTCAGCATCAGGCCTTCAAGAAGAAGAGGTTCTCAAACGCCTTATCGCTGTAAATCCAAACAAGTCATGTGGGCCGGACGGCTTCCACCCTAGATTACTCAAAGAGTTAGCAACTGTCCTAGCCGGCCCTTTGACGTCATTTTTTCGAAAAACTTTGAACGAAGGGATCTTGCCGGCTGACTGGAAAGAAGCTCAAG